TTAGAATGACTCACAAACTAGAGGAAATACATTTACTGGTTATAATAAACGTGATTATAAAAGATACAGGTGACAGCCAGATAGAGATGGGTAAGGTAAGAGGTATCTTTCAAGGTACCTCCACGTTTTCAACCATCTAGAAGCAGCTCATCAAATCTTGTAGTTCAAGAGTTTTTATTGCTCTTGACCCCACCTACCCACCCCTTCCCAGAGGTCAGTGTATGGGGCTGAAAGTTCCAGTCCTCTAATTCTCTGACACTTGGTCTTTCTGGTAATAGGCTCTACCCTGAGGCTATCTTAAGGCCCCACCCTAAGTAAGTCATTAGCATGAAATTAGGAGTTAGGAGGGGGATTCTTTTTTTTTTTTTTTTGAGAGGTTTTTGCCAAAAGGCATGTGGGCTTGCCAGACAGACAGAGAGAAACAGAGAGACAGAAAGTGAGAAATCACCCCCCGGGGGGATGGCCACGCTGCAATCCCTTCTCCTCCATTCTCCTCTTGGGATATTGGGCACACACGCACATGCGCGCCTGGCTTGTTTTAAGCCACCGGGTCTGGGACTCTAACCGTGGTCGACTACTTGGGAGTCCAGTGACATAGCCATTATGCTCACTGCTGGTCCCAGGGGACTCGTTTTGAATAACAAAACATACTTCTATCTTCTAGGAAGTTGTAAAGGTTTTAGAAGCTCTATTACAGGAACTAGGACAAAGACCAACTATAGTTCATATTATATTGTACATACTCTCATCATTCATGATTGTTTAAAATCTACCGTATTTCACTGGAGCTCTTCCAAGCATCTTCAGTTATATCCTCCTCCTATACGAGCAGCCCCATCTACACCCCCATGAGTGTTGGCTAGACCCCAACTCCCTTCTCATCCATGTCTTCCTCTTTCTGGGAGTTTGGTCACTCAAGCACAAGTGCCCAGCATGTGTTTCAAGCAGCTGGGTCTGGGACTCGAACCGTGTGGTTGGCCATGTGGGATCCAGTCGCCTAAACCACAATACCACCAGCCGGCCCAATCCCATTTTCTTTTGAGGACAGAAGTCTGATTGCTATTCCTATTACCAAATTATTTACAAAGGGCCTGGGGCGGGGGAAGTCAAGCCTATAATCATTAACAGACTTTTTGTCCATTAACAATTGATGCTCCCTACTCCAGTGTCTGGGATGGGATCTTTACGATGCAGAGTAAACCTTCTTATCTCTGTTACAGTAAAACACAGACATTCTTTTGCTGATGTCTTTCTGGAACCAAGATTTAAGCTTTCCTTTCCAATCACTAACCTAAGACTTTCAAACTCACCTCTAACCTATATGCCCCCACTTCTAGATGTCTTACTTTTTTGGGTCAGGCCAATGTAAGACTCCTTATGCTATTTGACAATTCTCCTGCTCTCAGAACTAAATAAAAGGAACTATTGTGTCTCAGCACCCCGAGAAACACTTATCTTTCTCTAGGTCAGGTGACTCGATCTTGTGCTTAGAATAAAACCACATAAGTTATTATTTCTGCAGAGCTTGGTTATTTCTGTTGACACTTTCATTGAGATTTCTAGGACAATATTAGAGCTACACATTGTTGACATGACATTCGTTTATTTATTTACTGGGGTCTTCCACTCCAAACTTCTAATCAAGGATTAGTTTTCTTTTTCCTTTTTAAAATTAATTAATTTTTAAAAATATTTTTTAAAAATAATTGTTTTATTTAACTTTATTTATTTATTTTTTATATTTGATCAGAGAGGGAGGGAGAGAAAGCGAGAAAGCAAGCTGCCAGGTTCAGGACTCGAACTGCGGTCGACCATGTGGGAGTCCAGCACTCTTAACCACCATATCACCTGCCTGCCCCAAAACTAATTAATTTTTTGAAAATCACTTTGTATGCCTTATCTACAGAATTGAGAACAATGATGGCTTAAATTATTTATCATTTTGTATACCTCCCACTTAGGCTACTCTGGTGCTCTTGAAAACAATGTTTCAAGGATTTTAGTTTGCCTGTGGGATCAGACAAATGGGTACAATTTAACTATAACCAAAAAAGATCCATGTAATTGTCAAAGGATCTCCTGCTGGCCTTGAAGGAGGCCTCAGGCTTTTCAAAATGACAATGAGGCTGCTATTCAGTCTTTGCAAAATATGCCCTAGCTCCTCGAGAACTGTTCCCAGGAAGACTGGTTAGTCCTTAGGAAGCCCTCGCTAAGGATTTGTATGCAAGTCCCTTCTGGGGTACTGTTCCAGACACCCTGGAGGGGTTCTCAACCTAGGATACATCTACAACTCATCAGATGCTATCAGCCCATTGAGAATGATGAATTTAGGTTCACATTCACCTTTATTTAGCAAATTTTGCAGGGCTACATTTCAGATGAATATTTAAAATACTTAAGAGAACTGATTTCATAGCCATCTCCAATTGCAAGAAGCAATTGTAGCACATTATCTTTCTTACTACAGTAGAGATAGCATTACCTCCGGATGAACTTTTGCTGAGCTTGAATTGAATGAGCAACTGAAAGTAATAAATTCTTTTTTTTTTTTTTTTTTTTTTTTTTTTTTTTGGGGACCACCGGGTACGCAAAAAAAAAGAGACAGAAAGTGAGAAATCACTCCCCCTGGGGGTGGGGGTTGGCCAAGCCACAATCCCTGCTCCTCCATTCTCCTCTAGGGATCTTGGGCATGCACATACACATGCCTGGTGTGAGTTTAGGCCACCAGGTGTGGGACTCGAACTGTGCTCGACTACATGGGAGTCCAGCGACATAACCATTACACCAACTGCTGGTCCCAAAAGTAATAAATTCTATAATTCAGACTTTTGCTACATTCTTCTTCCAGCAGGTGGGAAGAAGCAAGAGTGAAGTTAATACGTGGCAACACAGAAGTGACTGAAATAATATTTGTGGACTTAATAAACCAAAGGTTCCTTTTTGCAAGGTAGATGAAGAGAAACTTTTTTTTTTTTTTGCCAGAGGGTATGTGTGCTTGCCTCAGGGAAATAGAGAGAGAGGAAGAGGGAGAAACACTTCAATTGGGCGTGGTTAACACTGCAATCCCTCCTCCTCTGCTTCTCCTCCTTTTTGGGATTTGGGGCACCAAGAACATGCACCAAACGTGTTTCTAAAGGTGTAGGGTCTGGACTTGAACTGAGCAGATGGCCATGTGGGATCCAGCTGCCTTAACTACTAGGCCACGAGGACAGCCCAAGAAACTCATTGTTTAGCAAGGTCTGCTGAATATATAAATGTGTGTAAAAATATATATTTATATAGATTTTTAAGAATTACTTCTATTTAACTTTATTATTATTTGAGAGAAAGAGAGGATGGAAAAGTAAGGAAACAAGCCACCTGGAGCAGGGCTCAACCATGGTTGGCCATGTGGAAGTGCAGTGCCCTCAACCACCATGCCACCTGCTGGCCCCTGAGCACATATTTTGAAGCCTTTGTTGACGTTATCTAATTAGCATTGTTGACCTATGAGAAAAAAGCTGAGGCAAAAGTGAATAAGGCAAGGGGGAATTTATACAGGCCCAAATGAGGATGATTGCTGGACACACTGTGTCTCGGTTATCCTGAATGATGGATGCAGGGGTCTTACAGTATTTAGGGTAGTTTTAAAGACAACCAGTGGTGGGAACCAGCAGTTATGGCTATGTCGTTGGACTCCCATGTAGTCGACAGCGGTTCAAGTCCCGGACCCAGTGGCTTAAAACTCACGCCAGGCGCGTGTGCGTGCGTGCCCAAGATCCCAAGAGGAGAATGGAGAAGGGATTGCCGCGTGACCATGCCCCCTGGGGGGTGATTTCTTGCTTTCTGTCTCTCTGTCTGTCTGGCAAGCACACGAGCCTTTTGGCAAAAACCTCTCCAAAAAAAAAAAAAAAGGCAACCAGTGGCAAATGATGGGGGAGGGGGTTAAATTGACTCTTCCATTGGTGGGAAGCTACAGCAAACTGTGATTGGCTAAATTCTATGATAAGGGGAAGAGGAGGATTTTATGGTCATTCCATGGTCAGCATGGGAGTTAATATAAAATGGTTTAACGAGAGAAACTATGAGTTTAATACTCAGACAATGGTGAGTAAATAATTCTCTCTGGAATTAGGGTGGGCTTGGGAGACAAAGTAGTCCACGATAAGCTTTGTCTCGGTTGTTCATATTCTTTGATCTTAAACCTCAGGAAGGTGCTGACGATGATTGTTGTCTTCTTGGCATTTTTTTAATCTGTAGGCTGATAAGGAGATGTGAGAGCAAAGTCCTTCCCCGTGTCTTGGGAGAATAAAGGAAATCAAGGGTTGGTTTATGGTCTAAGAAGGGTCACCTTCAAGATGATGCCTGGTTCTCCACTCTTAAGATACCCCCTTTTGGAAAAAGTGGGCTCTTTCATGTATTTATGTTTTTCTTTATTTCATAGCACTTTCCGCTCCTGCACCGAAGATAATGGCTCCTACTTTGCTCTTGCTGCTAGTTTTACCACATCCTCAGTTGTCAGTCACGCTCTTAGGTCTGAAGGACAGATGTTGTACACTCATACATGCATGTAGGTACTGGGGATGTAATAGCAAACAAAATAGACCCCCCCCATCCCTGTCTGCATGCAGCTTGTATGAAGCACACATCAGTCTGTGTGCACATGTGTAGACTGTTAAGTATAATGAAGCATAAAATATATGAAATGTGGCGTGGTGGTTAAGGCACAGGACTCCCACATGGCTGACTGCAGTTCTAATTCTGGACCTGGTGGCTTGCTTTCCCCTTTCCTTCCTCTGTCCCTGTTCAGTCAAATAAAAATAAAAATAAACAAAATCAAACAATTCTTTTAGTACACACACACACACACATATATATACACATATATGTGTGTATATATATATATATATATATATGAAATGTTATAAGGGGTTAAACGTTATCCAGAAAAATAAAGCAGAGGAAGGGGAACAAAGACTGTCTTGTCTATACGAATTACAGTTTCATGGAAAAGACTGAACTGTAGGAGAGTCCACAACAAATGCTTCCATATAAATTTTATTCACCTTAGTGAACAATGGCATGGGCACCAGCGAGCGATGGCTTCAACAACTTTAGGAGGTATATTTCCCCCCAGTTCCTCTCTTCCTCTGTGTTCTTCCTTCTTATTCTTGTTCCGTTTTTCTTTCTTTCTGGTTCACCTTTCTTTAGTGAGACATCAGAACGGTGTGACAGGACGAACAGTTCCACTCCCTAGAACCTACATCTAGCATGTCGTGAGCCTCCGTTTTCTCATCTGTAAAATGGAGGTACAATATTATTTGGAAATACTGTGAGAGAGAGAAAACACGTGTAAAAGGTACAATGCCACAGTCTGTAATTGTGGGCCTCTATCAGTGGTCACTAGCCTGAACAGAAGGACACGTGCTCTTGTACAAGTAACTCTGGGAAACTGAAAATAAAAGAGTAGGACTCCAACCAGGAAGCAGGAATTGAGCATACTTACCCAATATCCTGCCGGAGATGAATAAGATGTGAGCTCCGGACCTGCTTCTCCATATATGTATTTCCTTCCATAGCAAGGGTTCGGGTCTTCCCAACTTAACTTTGGCTACCGATATTAAACACTCAGCAGAACCCCGTTAACAAGCACGCTACCCCCGGGTACTTTCACAACAAGCATGCTACCCCCGGGTACTTTCACGCAGAGACCCACGTGCTCCTTCCACGACCCTGCGCTGCAGGTACCATCGCACCCACAATTGCAGATAATTCAGGGGTGCCCAGTCGACTGGACTCAAGAGCGTGGGAGCTACTGCGGTGCCTTTCAGCGGGGCAAGCACACGAGGCTACCTCGTCGGGTGTACCCTCTCTTTCAGAAGCTTCGAGCTGGGGTTCCTGTCCCCTGGACCGAGAGAAAAGGAACTGGTAGGAGTCGCGAAGATCCGGAGAAGATCCGTTAGTTCCTTCGGGGTTCTCCTGCACGCCCTGGAAGGGGATGGCGTCCTTCTCTCCTGCCTCTAAGGAACGTGGCTGGGAGCCAGGGAGGCGGTGACCCCCTCCCCACTTCCGAATTCAGACCCGAAAAACAAGTTAGACTCTCCGCTTCGGTCAATTAAGCTTTTACAAAGAGGGGCGGGGCCTCTTCAAGAATGGTGTGTACGCAGAGAGCGGGGGTGGGCGGGGCGGGGTGCAGAGCCCTGCGAGCCGCCCATTGGTTGGGCCAAATGCCCGTCCCCCCTCCCTC